TTTTAAATTTCCTTTAACAATTGTTTTCATTAAAATGTGGCTGAAAAATTTCTATTTACAATATTTAAGATTTAATTAATTTCTTTTTCTAACCATTTACGCATTTAACTTCTTCCAATTTGTTTAAAAAATGGTAAATAATTTAATTAATGAGAAAATATTTACGCGACGAGAATTCCATTTTCTTATTATTATTTGTCTCGTAATCCATTAATAATATTTGTAAGACATTACCATTCGTTCTAAACTCTTAAGAACATTATTTTTTTTTTTGCAAAGAATTTTATCGTAACAATATTAAGGGATTGTAACATTATGAAGTACCAACATGAAACTCAACCCACACTTATTTTTTTTTTTTAGGAAAAACACATACCGAATTATAGACTGTATTGGTCTATATCATATAAAGTTAGAATATTAACTTGGCGTTTTGGAAATCCAAATAATACAACAGATCGAACATCACTGTTGTTCAATCGGGTTACACGTTCGGAAGAAATTTTCCTTATAACGACGTTTAAGGAATTAAGGTGTAACGGACGTGAGAATTTTTTTGTTATTGAAAGGTTCCGAAATAGTCAAAAAAATTTTCATTCGTTTAAAAAAAAAAGGAGAAAAATTCGTTTTAGAAATACAAAAATGGACTAGACTTCTTTTTTAAAAATAGATATCAATTCAGAATTAGAAATTACGATTATTTGTCATAAATAAATATTCTCCCCATATAAATATTTATCTAGAAAAGGCAAATTTTAATAGAGGTTCTAACTTTAGGGGGGGTATAAGTGAGAATTGTAATATTATTATCTTACATATTCCAACTAAAAAAATTTGTTATAAATTCTTCGATTTTTTTTACTCCTTCTCCAAAATACTGTACATTTAATCCATATCACTACTACCTATTTAATTAATTACGAAATTTAATTTTTTATTTTTTCATATTAAAAATGTCTCTTGAAGAAGGAAAACTCGCAGAAAAATATTACTCGGCTCCAAAAATCGCCAACCCAGCTCCACTTGGTAATATAGAATTGTTTGCATTTCAACCTCCATTTTTTTTTCTTTAAAAAAAAAATTCATCCTTTTATCTTACTTACTTCTTTCACATATAGGTTTAAGTGGTTTCGCTTTAACAACATTTGTATTGTCAATCCATAATGCTGGAGCCTCCACAGTATTGATTCCAGATATCGTGGTAGGATTAGCACTATTTTATGGTGGTTTGGTACAATTATTGGCGGGAATGTGGGAATTTAAAACCGGAAATACC